ATATTCCACAATTAACGTCGCTAACTCCCAATAAAATACAACACAACATAAATCCGATCAAACAGATATACATAATACTTGAAACAACACGATGCACAATATCACGACTATTTAATTGCACTTTATAATCTATCAACGCCAAAATTCAAAATGAATTAATGAAAAAAACAAAACAACCCGAATAGGTTTTTCTTCCCTCGCAAATTCATACCTATGGGAAGACTTGCCCGAGTCGACTTTCAGGCCGAGTTTAAAAATCCAACTAAAATCAAAATATTTTATATCCGTTTTTGCAGTCGACTGACGTTTTTCTTCTTCATGCAAAAATTAAGAATGACAGTTTGCGAGGGGAGAGGACGATAGGGTTGCAATTATAGATTAGATAGATAAGAGAGAAAAATAAATAAGAGAGCCCAAAGAGAGAAACACCACACTCCAAACCCTAGGTAATAATCATTTTGGGAGCCATCGACAAACACAGGTGAGGCACCGTATCTTTCTTCTCCCTCTCTCTCCCTGCACCTGTCCGATGAATAATTCCGGCCGATTTCTTATATTTTGTGTATATCAAGAAATTTGTTGACTTATAATTGTTGTTGAAATCACTATGTGATAACTTGTTGATTCTCGACAGGAACTAGGCTGATATATTATCTGTTGTTTGTACCGATGGGGGTGACCAAGACTCCCAAACGGAGACGGAGGCGGTGAGTGAGATCTGAGACCTCATCTTAAAGGGACTAGTTTTTCTTCTGATTTTCTCAATTTTTCCCATTTGATTGCATCTGTAGTTTGAGTTTGTGTTCTTATTAATTCATGATTAATCTCATATAGTTGTTGTATATTTGCAATTTGTTTTCTTTCTTGCAATTCTGATACCGGTGGTTGTTGGTAAATGTTGTATTTAAGTTAGACTCACACTGAATGCAGTGAGGCCAGCAAATTTCCATTTGGAGTTCCCCTAAAGGGATGGTCACCAGCCTACGACGAGGCTCTTTTGAAGTTCAATGAGGTAGCAAACTCTTCCTCTGTATTATATCACTTATCGATGATCATTCGTAGCAATAGTCTCATGTTGCTTAATTTCCAGGGAAATGTACCATTGCGCCGAAGTAGCAGAGTGAAATTCAAAGTGGACCGATTTGGGGGTGGAGAGGGGACTTCTTCAATGTATTGATTTTTATTTCTTTTTTAATGTAATTTTAGGTCCTTTAACTTGCAAATACATTTCAATATTGTTTGTCCTCGTATTAACTTTTATTTGCTTCTCGTTGGATGTTGATTATCCTGGTTTGTCATCTAGATTTTGTTTGCTTAGGTAATTGATAATTTGAAAATGGCTTCATCTAATATTTCTATTTTCATAGGGAGGACAGGAAGCCTGCAACTCGTAGAAAGCAGCGGATGCCTAGGGACCCAAAAGGGTACTTCCTTGCTAGAGGAAAACAGTCGGGAGAAATCGCATTATCTTGCTACAATCAGAAACATGTTCGTGTTCTATCCGCATCATTTTGCATATATCTGTCTGATCATTCCTAAGTTAATATTCTTCTGAAAACTCCCCTTGATTCATCAATAACATGCAAGCCTTTAGTTCCTCAAACTTGTCCACATACTCAGCATAGGAACCTGTATGCCGTAATTTATTAAATTCAGCTATTACCTTCATATCCTTGATCTCTTCAAATCTGGCAGAAACTATTTCAATGAACTGCTGCCACTCCAATTCCAGTTGTTGTGGGCTGAAATTCTGCAGCCAAAGGGCTGCCTTACCCTCAAAGTGCATGGTAGCCAAATTTACTTTGTTTGTTTCTAAGATGTTTGGGATGAGCTTGAAGTAACCATTGCATCTCAAGATCCAGGCCCTAGGGTTGTTGCCATCAAACCTTGGAAAATCAATCCTGGGTAGAGGACTGATAACTTGTGCATCTGTTAATGGTTTAAGCCTTGAGGAGAATGAACTCTGCTCCATTCTAGTATTGTTATTTGGATTTCCCAGGATAGAATCACTGCTCTGTTGAGTAGTGCTAAGATTGAGAAGCTGAAGTTGCATAGCTGCTAGGGTGTTAGCCACATGATCGAATTTCCCTGTTATGCCATCCCACTGATCCTTCAAGTGGGTTTTCATCCCTGCTACTTGACTCCTCATTTCAGATCCAATTTCACTAATTTGCTCTTGAAGTTTGAGCTCGGTTGCTTCTCTTTTAAGCACCTCTGTTTGCCAAATCTGCTCTAATTTCTTGTGTGATTCTTGCAGGTCTTTAAATCGCGTACCTTCTGCCATGGCCGAGGATTGAACGGCTCTGATACCAATTGTTAAGTTTTTGGAATTTTTTGTAATTTTTTTGTATATTTTCTGGTAATTATTTGGGAATTAAAATAGCTTAATGAAGAAGATGAAGATTAGGATAGAGATAGAAAGGGAGGAGGAATATTCAGAAGAGAGAGAGAGAAATTAGATAACTTTTTCCATAATCCACCAATCTTTGCTCACATGCTCTTAAAAAGCTAACAAACTGGGCCCACTCTAACAAACACATGCACTCACTCCCTCATATCCAAAAAATGCGGAAAATACAATAAAGGAATAAACAAAATGCCATCAGCTCTTGGGACCACGTGTACGGCTAAGTTTGCTTGATCAACACTTCAATCCAACGCTGTTCATGGTTCCACGTGGCGATCTCTGGCACTCCCATTAAGTCAATGTTGAATAAAGAACCCAGATGTTCCATTTCTTCACTTCTCGATCCCCTTTCTCCAGAATCCCTAATTTTAGCCTCCAATTCACCCAAATTCATAACAGGACCCAAAAGGGTACTTCCTTGCTAGAGGAAAACAGTCGGCAGAAATCGCATTATCCTGCTACAATCAGAAACATGTTCGTGTTTTATCCGCATCATTTTACATTTCTCTGTGTGATCATTCCTAAGTTAATACACAAACACACACACATTAATTTACAGGGAACCAACTTGGAGTTCGTGAGATTTGTGGAATTCAAGGAGAGGGAATTCTTTGGACCTGGTTACTTATTGAACTTTAACGAGAAATACTCTAGGTGGAGGCATGTCAACTTTGAGGCCAGGCTGCCCAATGCAAATCCCAATGACAAACCACTCCTTCTGTTTGCTGAATTATATAGGAAGAATGGCAAATATGAACTTACCACACTGTCACAAGTGAACCCTTCCCCTGATGGTCAGTGTTACTATCTTTGTGCCACCGAGTTTTTGGTGTCTGGTTTCTCTGTTATGCGGTCTAATGCTTTCTTACACGTTTCTTGTGCCTAGCTCTATTCCTCACATCATTTTTTTTTTTTTGTAAGTAACATTAGTTATGCGAATTGGATTGTACAAAAATTTCATCAAGACTTAAAGTGTGTTAGAAATTTGCAACCTTGTTAATTGTATTCATTTTTATAAATATGATTCACAATGTTGCAGTCTTGTTTCAACAAGGAGCGAAAAATTGAAAAAGTTCGTTGCTGTATGTTGTGTTATCATGGGTGGATATTTGTTGGATTGCAATAGTTTTTGTTCTTTAGCTTAATAAGTTTGTTTGTAGATTGTGCTTGTCCGAGTTGTGACAGATCTTCCGTGATTCATCCTCTTCATGGATTTCGTGCTGGTTTTGTGGCCTCGTAATTCCCCTTTCCCTGCACTATTGTTTATGTTTGTTATAGTATGATAATGAGTAACCAACTAAATGCGACATATTTCATACAGTGAGCCCAGTGAGCCCAAGATAATGTCCAAAGAAGATGCTGTCAAACTGGCCGAGTTCGCATTGAAGGACTACAATGATAAACATGTTTTTCTTTTCTCTTCAACTCCATTTTTCACTTTTTTCCTCCCCCCCACCAAATATGGACCCCATAATCACTTTCTGCCTTGTAACACTTTTTGTTAAAAAATCCAGGGAACAACGTTGAAGATTGAAAGGGTCCTTGAATGCAATAGTTTTACGAGTTCTGGTCCATTGATGGACTTCACTGTGAAAACCAAACGTTGGGTGCATATGAACTTTGAGGTGAGGGCGGGTACTATGGAAGACATAATTCGCTTGTTTGCTGAACTTTACCTCTCAGATGATAATACGACGTACGTGCTTGCGTCATTGTCACCCACCAGTCCTTCAGAAAAGCGGTGCGAATGGGCAAAGTACTACAACTTAGGTAGTAAAGTATTTATGTTACATAATCAGTTGGTCATATAAAAATATGCAAATGCCTGTTTTTAATATTTATTGATTTACTTGTTCACAACACTAAGAATAAATTTATTACTGGTTTTGACACAGATATTGGATGTCCGAACTGCCCGAAAAGCATTTACCATCCATGGCGCAGTTTTCGATATGCTTTCAATTGTATTCCTACTCCCTCGATTGCAGCAAAGCTCAAAAACCAATAGAATCCAGTGGCAGTTTCCTCTCTAATGTTCCCGCTTAATGTTGGCCACTCTTTTTAAGGTCTGATGTAAAAGATATGTAAGTTATCTGATATTGTCACCATTAATTAGGTTTTTTTGTGCTATTTAAAATCTTAACTCCAAGTTTATGATGCCTCTTAAGAATGTGTTTGGTAATACTATGAGCTAACTTTATAGTTTATTTGGATAGTTTATATTTTTTTAAGTGTTGTAATAAGCTTGATTTTGGTACAATGATTTTTTTTTTTTTGAAAAAAAGTTCCGAGCTAATTTATTAAGCTCGTTTATGTACCTTTTCAAAAAAATCTCGTTATAAATGTTATTGTTATATGTTTGTTTATACATATATATTAAAATATTAAAAGGGAAATGTATAGATAAATCCCTAATCCTAAATTCATCTTCTCATTCAGTCCCTAGTGAAAATTTTTTCCATTCAACTCCCTAGTCAACAACTTTATGGTCCACTCTAAGGTTTAAATTACATTTCTGTCCCGATACCTGTTTTTAAAAGAAAAGTATCAGTTTTCATTCAGTATAGTACCAGGGGCTTTCAAAATAGTATCTTGTGTTATAAATTTACATAGAGTACCAAATGTCTTTCTATATTGTACCTGACTTTATTCCCGGAGTACCACCACATATAATAAAATGGTATCAGAGCCTAGGTTTTATTAAGAACTCTTAGAAGAATTTATTACATGGTAATTGAATTTTGGTGAGGAGAATTTATAAAAGAATGGATATAGAAGATTGTCCAGAATGTATACATTATCTAAGATATCTTCAAATTTTGAAGATGTGTGAACAAGAACACCAACAAATGGTCTCCCATTGGGATGACCGCTATGTTGAACAAGTTCTGGCAGGAGTTAATAGAATTACAACTAAACTTTGCCAAGAACAAAAGAAGTATCATATGGATGCCTTCTGGGTAAACCAGTTGTTACAAACAGATTTATTAAATCATCAAGAAATAGCTCATCAAAATCACAGTCATCAATGAGCTATAATAGTTTAACCTGGAAAGAAGTTATTCCAGACTCATCTAAGTTTTCTGAAGATATTCGCGAATTACAAAAGACGGTACAAAGCTATGGTGAAAAGCAATTGTTGGTACCAAACAAGGTTCAGCAGACGCTAACCAAAATTGAAGAGCTAATGAAGAGTCAAAAGGATACATTAGAAATCCTTACTGACATTCAAAAGCGAGTTAAAACTCTAGAAGAAAGACCCAGTTCTTCTGGAGGACGAAGAAAAGTAACCTTCGGTACAGTACCCCTATTACACCAAAAGGATAAACCCACCGAAGTTCGAAGGCCTATGACAGAGGACGAAAAGATGAGAGCCATCTTAAAAAGAAAATTCACCAACAAATAAGGGAAAGAGTGAATTTGGAAGATCTACATGACCTTGCAGAATCTTTTGCGGGGTTGGGTCTAGTAGACTTAAAAATGAACATGGGAGATGGTTCAACGATAGTAACTAGGTCCCAACCACCTCCTGGAGGAGAAAGTTCGGGTTCTCACCAACCTGAGGAACAACATATGCCCCATCAAGGGGATTTTCATGTTCGGGGAGAAAGCGGGCATCCAACGGGTACCCGAATGCGTTCCCGAAGGCCTAACCTTCAAAATACCCCTTATGGAAAATCTCAACTAGATCCGATTCATCCTTATGGGTTAATGTTGAATCTAGATACCTTAGATTTTAAAAATCGGGAGATCCTTATCGATGATTGGGCCTCTGCAATGAGAATTGCTGGAGGGACATTGGATCTCAACAAAGAAGGGTTCATTTCACTTCTCGAAATGAGCCTAGAAGGTTCAGTTAAAATTGCATGGGATATGGCTTCTCCAGACGTTAAAGGAGATGCCATAGCTGGAGAATCATTAAAATGGATAGTCGATAATATGGCAAGAGTATTTAAGATCTTATTTATTGGCACAGGATATTTTGAAGGAGTAGAGGAAGAAAAACAAAAGAGATATAAACAAGCCCTCTATTGTTTAGAATTACATGACATTTGTCATGTAGATGAATATATCAAGTTATTCATGGAGTATAGATGGAAGGCCAAGGTAGCAGATTCTGAAGCCTCCCAATTGTTCTTTGCAAAGATACCCAGTCCATGGAGAGAAATGCTAATCAAAGAATATAAGATGGACGAGTAGATACGGTGGCTAGAAGGATGTCATTTCTCAAGGCCAAACTATCCGAGTGGTGCCATCAGGCGGCACTACACAAAAATTATAAAAGACTTAGAGGTATTAACAAATCAGTTCCTCTATGTTGTGAAGAAAATGACATTCCAACAATTATTGGGAGTCATCCACGGAGAAACAAACGGAGAAAGCATACTAGAGATGCTCACTCCCGTGGATACAAGAAGAGTAGGTCTTCATGGAGACCTAGACGATACTGGTCAAAACAAAAGGCCCGGAATTATAAATCCGGACAAAGACCAATACCAAGCCGCAGTAGAGTCTCTTCTTCAGGTTCTAATCAAAGAAGTACAAGTAGAAGAACTTTCAGAAGAACTCAAACACGAGCCAATGAAAGTTTTAAAGACTGTAATTGCTGTACATGCAGAGCAAGAGGTCATATATCGACCGATTTCCCGGATAATAAAAGGCAAGGAATAAGACAGTTTGAAGCTACCCCAGAATTTGATGATGCTGTCTACTATCAAGATTTGGTACAGGTATATCAATTTGAGGATATTCCCTCAGAAGAAAGCATTTATGAAGAAGAAGAAGTCTACTCTGAAATGGAAGTGAATCCAGTTCAGAATCAGAGTAAAGAAGAGTTCCTTCAACAAGTAGTAAGAGAAGACATGTTGGGATTCCTTTCCCATACGACAGTGTCTAACAAAACTCTTATGAAGATTATGAAGGAAGATCCAAAGCTCCAAATGTATGATGGATTTACTATTGGGGCAATAGAAAAGGTTATGGATAAAATAGGATTGAGAAGTAGAAACCACCATATTATCCATAGAGTCTCAATAGGAGAGTTTGCCATTCCAATGGAATATACGGGGAATCAAATAGAGATGCAACTCATTCCCTATAAAGAAATTCAGGATATTAAAGGAAGGCTCAAAAGAGAAGTGGCTAATACACTTTCATGGATCCACATTGGAGCCATTAGAGTAGTCATCAAGTCAACCTTTAAAGAAGGAATAGATTCACCTCTTAATCTGGCGATATTTGATAAAAGGATTTCAGACCTTAAAGACTCATGTCTTGGAGGAATTACAAGAAATTTGTATGCAGGAAAATTGGCATTCAATGTCTATCCAAGAATTTCATTCAATTTAGGAGATCGTGATTTTAACAAAGTTCTTACCCTACATCAAGATTTTAAAAGAACAGAGTTAATGAAAGAAGGGAATAGACCCTATTCCATTACATACAAGATTTCCTATGCTTTATCAAACACTCATCATTCTGAGGTATTTCTAAGGAAGGAATTCATAGAAGTTCCCAGGATATTCGAGGATTTTGCAAAAGCGGTATTACCGGATATTATTGAAAATCCAACAATTGAAGAAATTGATATGAGAATACAAGATAGACCTGTTTTTAACCGATCTAAAAGCCTCATGATTGAGCCTAGGAGAATGTCTTTCCAGCAAGATAGAGCTATCAGCAGTAACCGCTGGGAAGAACAACGAGCGAGTATACATACAAGAACTCCTGATGTATTCAAAACAACGGGAGAAATTAGATGTCCTGAAGGGTGGAGGTCAGTAGAAATAAGGTTCGATATCACACAAAAGGATAATTTATTTCCATGTGATGCCTTATATTACCTCCAACAACCTATAATAGGACAATATGAAGGTATCCTGAAAATCGGAGAAATTGAAACGATGATCACAGGAGGAGCAGGAAGGACCCCGGAACAACTTGTTCTAGGATTAGAATTCCTTGAAAACCATAAACCATGGGAAAGGTTACAAGACGGAATGGAGTTTACAGTAAAGGGACGAAGATATAGAATTTAGATGACAACTAGTCCATTCTCAATTTATATTTCAGTCGGAATATTACATGAATCGTATAGGGCAGAATATTTTGCAGCCTATATTGATTCTGGAGCAGGCATTTGCACAGCAAAACCTAGAGTATTTCCAAAAGAAATAGGAGAGGACCTAACCCCTATAGCAGGAAGAGATTTCTCTAAAAGGATCCTTATCCTTAAAAGAGGAATTAAACAAGCAGAAATCATGATTGGCGGAGCCGGTGGTAACCCTTGGTATAAGGTAAAAACACCACCAATCTATTTTCATGATACAGGAGCAGATGTTTTGTTAGGAAATAATTTCCTACAAACTTTCAAAAGATTTACTCAAGAAAATGAGACAAGAAGACTTATTTTTAGAACTCTTTGTGAACATAAGATCATCGTCCAAAGGTTAAGAGAGGCATTTTATAGAAAAATGCCTATCACATTTCGCAGCAAGCGTGGTGATGAAGGAAAACTTCGACACCCAAAAATGAAGGATAAAAGAAAGTACGGAGGAGCAACCCTTCAGTTAAGAATCGAAAGTCTAGGAGGCTACGAGGAGGAAAGAATAAAGTCAGAAACCATTCAATTCCTCAAGGCAAGTCTAGACGAGAAGTTACAACCCAAAGTAACTCTCGAAGAGCAAATTTCGCTAGAAGATATCAGAAGAAAAATCCAGAGAAATTTCAATGAAGATCCTTTAGCTTGGTGGGATAAAAATGAACTCAAG